TCTCTCTCTCTCTCTCTCTCTCTCTCTCTCTCTCTCTCTCTCTCTCTCTCTCTCTCTGTGTCTCTCTGTGTGTCTCTCTGTGTGTCTGTGTGTCTGTGTGTCTGTGTGTCTGTGTGTCTGTCTGTGTGTGGGTCTGCTGATTGTTGTGAGGGACATGCCTGTTTTGGAGGTGAAGGGTCTAATCTCGTGGTGTTTGGGGAATCACTGTAATGTGTTCCCTTGCTTGTCTGTGGCTGGTGGGTTGATTGATACAGGAAGTCGGAGAGTTTGAAGAAAGAGAAACATGGAGATTCGGAGGAAGAAGTAGGGCGAACGTTTGTCTTCACCCTTGGAGGGATTGTTTCTATTTATAGCATCAAACTTGGCTATCTATCCCCAAGGGGTCCGGAGCGGCAAAGTGGTTTGGGTCATCATGGGGTGGGGGGACCACCACCGGGTTGTTTGGGGCGCCTCTGCACCCGGGAAAGTGCTCCTCTTTGGGGAGCATGCTGTCGTATATGGGATGACGGCGGTAGCAGCAAGCATCAATTTACGGACCACTGTCGTTGCTTCTATCTCTAACAAAAATGAGAAGGAAACCATGGATGACATCGTGGACCCTTATTCCGTCGCCGCCGAGTCCGAGAAGAGCATATCTCTGCACCTTGCAGACTTAGAAGTCCGTCTCACGTGGCCGATCCGCGAGATCATCGCAGCTATGGGTATGTGGGGGACTCCAGAGCGGCTATGGTGGAGTCCTGAGCAGAGTGGTATGGGTGCCCCTGCCAAGGTGGTGGCTTGCGACGACCTCCTGCTTGGAATTCTGCACGAGCTGGTGCAGGACCAACTGCCGGCGGAATTACAGAACGACCATGCGCTGTTGACTTGTGCGTCGGTCTTCCTCCACCTCTATCTGCACATCCTAGGCTGCAGGGAGGGAGAGGTAAGAGTGACCTCGCAGCTGCCGACCGGAGCAGGTCTGGGGTCTTCGGCATCCTTCTGCGTCGCGCTCTCGGGAGCGTTGTTGGCGCCCTGTGGCATCTTGGAAAGTGCAGATCAGTCACAAGTCCAGAGGGAGGAGAGCACCTCTGAGGGAGGACAGGAAATGCACAAGCTTTGGGACCCTGCACTAACCCTGGTTAACCGATGGGCCTTTGAGGGGGAAAAGGTTATCCATGGGAAGCCATCAGGTGTTGACAACAACATTTGCAGCAGAGGCGGGATGCTCGGGTTCCGACAAGGAGAGATAATGTGGCAGGTCGGCGGTCAGGAAGCAGGGCAGCAGCTACCGGGTTCGATCTTAGTCACGAACACCGGTGTCGGGCGGAATACCTCGGCCATGGTGGCGGCATTGCGGAGCCGGATCGCGCGACACCCGCGAGTGATGGAGGAAATTCTTGAAGCTGCGAATGCGATCTCGGCGGAATTTATGAACCTTGTAGGAGCTTACAAAAGAGAGGGTGAGGGTGCCAAAGACGGAGCGAAGGGGGAGGAGCAGGAGGAGGAGGAGGAGGAGGAGGAGGGTAAAGAGGGGAAGCAGGGCCTGTTATCGGCAGCGGAGATGGAGGTCTGTGCAGAGGAGCAAGATCTGCGCCGTCGATTACCTGAACTGATAGAGATCAACCAGAAGTTGCTAGAGTGCATGGGAGTCAGCCATCCAACCATAGAGGAAGTTTGTCGAATCACGGCAAAATTCGGGCTCGCATCGAAGTTAACGGGGGCCGGCGGAGGCGGATGCGTGCTCTCTTGGCTACCATCAGACATCTCATGTGACCTTCTTGAAAGCATCAAGGCAGAGCTCCACGCCAGTGGCTTTCGGTGCTTTCAAACCGTATTTGGAGGCGAAGGTCTCCAGTTATGGCGAGGTGTCGACTGAGCACAGGTGTCACAGAGAATTCCCCAGTGAGACATAGACGAAACGGAGAAAAGGGCAAGCAACAGGGGGGGGGCTCTGCACAGGCTATACGCAGAAGAAGCCAGAAATAAGCAAGCGATTAAAAAAAAAAAAAAAAAAAAAAAAAACAGGGCGACAGCCTTGAGATATCATCATTAAGCTGACCGGCCCC